AATCTTATTTCTCACCAAAATCCAAATTCGCCCACAACTCAAGTAACCATGCATTGCCTTGTGTCAACTCATCTGCTTCACACTCTAATAAGTTGGCAAGACAAGTCTATCCCAAATAACACAATTCCTGACTACTATCAACAAGAGATTAAGGATGATCAGTCCCTCAATTTGTCAATGGACAGTCGACAATCATGAGGTGGCATTAACCATCGTTACCAAACCACACATCATCTTCAATCTTACCCCTCAAGCTACTTAAACATAACCATGCTTGAAGCATCAACTGTTCGGCACTACTTACATCTTACAATCGGCGGTATACTGAACCAACCTCTTGCACAAAACTTAAGAGAAGAAACTTCTCCCCCACTTATTTCACACGTACCTCTGCAGACAACGAAAAGGAAACAAACAAGTACCGACAGTGTTTCACACACATGTCGCGTACCAAAAGGGATTAAACACATAAACAACCTGGCCGATAGACCGACCTGCTCTGATACCACTATTGTAACACCCCTTCTAAATACCCAAATTAAAGGTAAAGATTAAAATCAGAGAAATAAAATTGCACGGAAGGGATGCCACAACACACATCACATTCCAAAGTTTTTAAGGAAAAACAGACAGGGTATGTTTGAAAGTATAAGCATTCCAACACAAAACAAACATACTATAAATATTTACTTCATTCTCTCGTGCAAACGCAATGGAGTTTCATAATTTCACATCATCTCCGTTTATGGAGGAGTCAAAACATAATTCAAGGCATCAAGCCATCATAATTCACATAAGCATATGTTATCAAGTCTCACATATACAAAACATCATATACACGAATAAGGATTATATACATCATAATCCAAATACAAAATAATCGAGTTCGACACTAATAAATTCCCCCCCCCCCCCATGTGTTACTACCAGAGCATCGACTCGACTCTAATCAAATAAAACAGATTGCAATCCAATGCATCCGTTAGCTAGCGCCTCGCGCTACCGTCCTCGGTACCTGCACAATGCCATCAAAAGCATTGGCCAACAAAAAGGTAAGAATTCCAATAATCATATAACATATAATTTTAAGTAAATGAAATGGCAATAATTAAAGCAATACATAATGATCATGTTCATTTTATCACCTGTAGCCTCCTTACTCAAGGAATCCATTTCCAACACATTAACCATATAAACCGATTATCCGAATACTCACATCCTTGGCACATAACCATAATTCAAACAACAACAATATTGGCACATAATCAAACACATCAACACACATACATATCATGCACAATTATACATGTGACTCACAACACGACTCAACGTATGTAAATGCGGTACTGACTCGTGGACCCAAAGTTCCACCACCTATGTTTCCCTTCCGGATCAAGGTCACTACGTCTTTTCCCACAATAGGGTCACCGTCTAGATATTGTGGACCCAAAGTTCCACCACCTATGTTTCCCTTCCGGATCAAGGTCACTACGTCTTTTCCCACAATAGGGTCACCGTCTAGATATTGTGGACCCAAAGTTCCACCGTCTCTGTTTCAAGACCACCATGCCATGCAATGTACAATATAACCAATGCATGCAATTAAGACTCACAATGATCTTAACATACACATGCCATCAAATCCAACCAATGGAACATCAACTATTGTACATGCATGCATACATATAATTTATCAATCTCAACGTCAAGTAAAATGTATACAAACAAGATTACTTACTCAACCAAAACATAAACCATCAACTATCAACAATTCCAAATCGGAAAGTATATTTCAACATAAAGTCATTATCAATGAACCGGCATTATTCTCAATGTTTCTCATCGCGATCGAGTCACCGAAATGTAACTCGAACGGTTAGATTCGGGATTAAACTCAACTTATTTCATTCGCACTAAAATCGGGTCGATTCTTAAAAGTCGAAATTTCGCAAGACGAACTTCACTACGTCAAGCTACACGTCGGATTACACTAGCACATCAATTTTCTTTGGATTCGGAGCAACTTGCTCCGTCGACGAATCTACCGAAATCGAAACACAAACGGGTTCTAAAGGAAGTGCGAAAATTAGAATTTTGGAGGCTACAGACGCATCAACACGGGCACCCGTGTGCTGCAACACGGCCCGTGTTGAGAGGCCACCAGAACGAGCCAAGAAATGCCAAGTCAGAGCAGCAACACGGGCACCCGTGTGCTGCAACACGACCCGTGTTGTGAGGCCTGCGTGAAAACTCCACTCTTTTGAGTTTTTCTCATTCAACTACCATGGTTTTCTTTCCCATTTCCATACTCTTAATTTCCAAAAGCTAGCACTTAATACACCCACAAACCATACTCCTAATCCAACTTTTCTAAACCATTCTAACAATCAACCAACAAAACCCTAAAAAATCAACTATCAATTTTTACCCCTAAATCCAAAATATATCATACAAAAACCTAACAATATGAGATGGAGAATCAAACCTCTTACCTTGGTGTGGGTTTTCTTGAAACAAGTTGATGAAGATGTTGTAACTCCACCCTAGCTTCCTTTCTTCTCTTCTCCTCTTTTCTTTCTTCTTTCTCCTCTCTTCTTTTCTTCTTCCTCTACTCTTACTAACTTCTCCTTTTTCTATTTTATAAAACTCTCTTTCTACTACTAACTTTCCTCCCTCTATCTTTCTAAAATTTTAATTTGGCCCCAACAATTATTTAATTCAAATTATAATATATAACCCTATTAAACAATATTACATTAAATAATATTTATTCTATATAAACCTAATCATGCCAATTAATCAAACAAAGCCAAATATTACTACACACCAAATTAATATTACTCAAAATAGTATTTTATCATTATGAATATTTTTACTTCAAATAACCGAATTAACATTTAATCAAAAATGGGGTGTTACAACTCTCCCCCACTTGAAAGATTTTCGGCCTCGAAAATTTTGACCAAAACGAACAAATCGGGACATGCCTACGCATTCGTCCACTCAATCCTTGCGCTAATTAAACAACATACAAAATACACCTAACACAAGGGCATCTCCCTAGCCATAACGTTTAGACAAGAACAACCATGCCGAGATGCGAAGCCCATACAATGCACTCGACAATCAACTAACACCCAACAACTAAACAAGTCGCAGACACACCGGTTCGCTCGAGAACTAAACAAACAAGATCGATACCATCCTAACGCCTCAACCATAGACTTAGTCATACACTCGAACCGACACCTCGGAAACGAGTCATCAAAGGTAGGAACATAAAGTCCTACGACACAACACCGACACCATCGCTAAAACAAAAACAACAAAATGGTTATACAAACCAAAACTGAAATAATCAGAAAGGATAAAACCACGCGTGCTACGCAAACACGAAAAGATGCCATCATTCACGCATAAGTACGAACTCAAGAATTACACTTGCAGTTACCGCTCTCCTTCCAGAAAATCACAAGGTCACCTCGTCCTTGTAGATTACCAACGTACCACCCTTGAACAATACCAAGTTACCCAAACATAACTGAACTGCGACACACCACTCATCCTAGGACGTATACTGACGACTTGCGACTATAACTCACTAGCCCAAATCCAACAATCCCGCATACTCGCTAAAACTCAATGCTCGATACCTAAACCATAGATCTTTATCCTTGCAAATTGCAGTGTAAAGCAAGAGGAACGACCAGAAACAGAAACAAAGAAACTAAAATTGAAGTCGAACCGTAGATCTTTATCCTTGCAAATTGCAGTGATAAGGTCTTTTTGTTCGCCGATGACCATCAGAACAATGTCGTGACCTATTGTTATGAGCTCATATGTTTGGACTACGTTGTTGCCATCTTGATTTTCTGGCTGGATGAAGAAAGGTATATGGTCATTGTTGAATGGGTTTTCGATAGAAATGAGAGATTGAACAATGGAACCTTTAATCGATAGTGACAAATTCAGATGTGAAACAACAGGTGAAGAAGAAAATTGGTTGGAATTATTGATTCTTTCGTCCATCATTATTGGTTGTTCATCAATGCTGCTACATCAAACCAACTGTTGTGGTTCAAATTCCACGTCCTCTTCATCATCAGGTAAAGACAGAATTACCCGCCACTCAAGCTTAAATTGCCATAGAAATATTATTGTAAATGCATCCCAATTCACCTTTGAATGGCGAGGGTACCAACGGAGCCACCATGTGAGAGCCGAACCTTTCATGGCAAGTCCAGCCACCGTCATCTTCAACGTCTTTGGTGTAAGCCATTGCTTGCAGTATTTCTTGGTAAAAAGCACCCACTAATAGGCATCGATTTCACCATTGAACACCGGAATCACCATTTTCAATTAACCAGAGAGAGAGAGCTCATCGAAGAAAGCACTAATTGATAGGAAGTTTTCCTATCAAATCTAAGAATTATGGTTTTCTACATTAAAAGGGAAGAACATTAAATTGATTAACTAAAATAAAGGAAGATAAAATAACTTTTTCATTTGATTGATTGATTCTAAATGTCTATATGAGACTACGTTATATAATACTTTTAATGGATAAGTTAATGACTAATAAACGTAAAATCCCAATAATTATTAGAAGCCCAATAACTATACTAATACCTAATAATATAAATACTATTATCCCCACATAGTGATTTTTGGCACAAGTTGATTTTCTCAATTCCTTTTTGGTTTGATTTATAAGCGTTCTAAACAGATGCGTTTTGCAGGTTCATTTAATTATGCAAATATGATATAAATTGATTCTATTTTATTTGGATCCCTATTTCCATTATAGTTTTCAATTAGTAATATTGTTAAACATTGGGTTGAGATTTTCTTTGAATTTGGTAAAGCTTGATTTACTTCTGAGGTTTCTTAAGATCATTAAGCAAAAACATTTTCATTTATCGGGTTGCTATCGTCGCATTTGGGAACCGGCATCCACTGTTTGGGGTCTAAAAATGTTGGGAGGGTAACTGGAAATTTTCATGAAACCAGAATTAGCCAAGACTTACTCAACTTTAAAGAGGGAACCGGAGGAATTGATACAGAAAAAAAGTAAGTCTAATTTTATTAGCCTGAACCTTTAACTCGGATACTTATCAAGGAAATAATTCAATTGTTTAGCCATGTTTTCCTCCGAAATGTCCTGCCACTTTTATAATAACATAAGCAGGAAAAGCCTAAGGTTCTAATGAATGAATTATATAAAACCCAGGAAGCTATCTAGTAAGTGCTAACTTAAGTTTAAAATTGCAACCTGCTACTCTGAAATCCGTGAGTTCGCTACGAGCTTATGGAAGTTGTTTGTTGCTCTGCTACAGACGTGTTCAATCCGTTGCGTGTTGCTCCTGTTGTTTCCAATCGCTTGAATTGTGTCGAATATCAAATGACTCTGTGTTCAAACATCGATTGCAGGTGCATATTTGTCAAACTCATAATATATTTACCATGTTTGTTTCTTAAGAACATCTTTTGACTATGAATTATAATTGATCCATATAATATTGCTGTTATGAGATTGATTCTGTGTGCATTTCGTTTTTTATTTTTTTATCTAAGAGGTGAATAAGTGAGATAATTTTGGTGTTGTTATATTCCATATCAATTGTGCACTCTACATGTTTGTTAAAGTATCACAGTAGATTTTCTTTTGGTAGTGAGATACTTTGGATTGACAGTGAGTTTGATATTTTTGTCAAAAGCCACATTTTTGACATTTCAAAAAAATCAAGATGTCACCCTAGATTAATCAAATTCAATGTGTAACCAAACATTTATTAAAGAGGTCGCCTACAAGGAGTTTCTCTAACACAAAATGACCATCATTCTCGGCGGAGATTGTTTCTAACACTTGTGATAAATCTGTCCTGCAGTGGTAACCGTTTGTTGAAACTGAGTTTCTCATGTTTGTGATCTCTTTGATATTAGAGATGATTCTGCACCTTTCCATTTGAGGGCTTCCCCTGCAAAACCCGCGGTGCAACCACCTCGTGTTCACAGCATCAACGTCTGTTGCCTGGGATTTATAAATCTTTATGGGACTATTTTTGAAATTTATCAAAGAGGCTTCCTTGCATTTATCAATTCTGAATTTACTTTGGTACAGGGGGATATCAAGACCTGATATGACAGAAAATTTAAGCATTAAAGAGGACTTTAGGGTAGCATCAATTCTGAATTATATGTTAGAATTTCATTTTAAGCATGCTGGGAATGTGTGGAGAATATCCACACTAGAGGGTAAATCATAATCATATGGAATGGAGGACAGTCAAATAGAGATGTAGTGAAACTAAGAAAGACTTTAGCAAAATGGTGAGTATAGTTTGCCTTGGTTTTGTTTTTATTGTTTTTATGTGTTTCTTGACTGCTGTTTTTGTTGTTTTTGCAGGTTGATGGAAAATCAAAAGAAGCTGGATCGTAAATTCATCTGTGATTCTTCTTGCAGGGGAAGTGAATGATAGCAAGGTTGTGTGGAATTTTTACATAATTGCTTTATATTCGTTGATGTTGTTTTCTGAAATGTTTGTATCTAAAGAGAAATTTCTGAAAATAGTGGAAATTTCTTTCTTTTCAGTGAGTGGCTTTATGACATATGCCGCGAGCAGTTAGTAGTGTATCGCATGCCGCGAGCTGTTTACAACGTTTTCCAATGAAGTTTTGTGAAGTATTAACTTATCTTCCATATTAATTTCAGTTTTCTCTTACTTTTAAAATTTCAACTCTGTCACATGAGGGTGAGTTTGATTTGGATATGACATACATCACTGACAATAAAATAGCTATGGGATTTCCTGGTGGTGATGTTCATAATATTGGAATACATTATGAAGTTGATGTTCATATTCTAATAATATATGTGTTTGAATTCAGGTTTTGTTCATACTTTACACATAAACAACCCATTACGTACAAAACTGTTTGACAGTTACTGTCCACATTATAATAAAGATGTTGATTCTGTACAGAGAACTTTGTAAGTAATGTTGATAATAATTTGGAATGTTTTTTGCGTTGCTGTTTAATTAACTTGCCACATCATGGGCTGTTATATAGCATTTAGAGATAATCGGTGCAGGAAACTTAATTGGATGTTCTCTTTTCTAATTTGTTTTTCCTCTTGTCAAAAGCACCATTGGAAACCATAGAACTAAAATAATGATGATACACATTATAATAAAAAAAATTTCAGACTTTTTGCAGAGAGGTTGTTTTATCAGACTTGAATGGTATGTTTAAGAATTCGTAATAATAAACTGATGTATGATTTGTTCAGGAATTCGAAGCCACATGTTGCAAATACCTTTTCCTTCTCTAAATATGATATGGAGAAAGTTCAGGTATTTTAGAATAATTGCGTTTCGAAGATCGTTTACTGCTTCTTGCTGCTTCAATTCTTATGTTTTGAAACTCAAACATATATGTCTTGTCTAAGTGGGTTCCTGTCTAAGTGGATTACATTGTATATCTAATTACAGGAAAAAAGTTGTGAGGATGTCGTTTCTGCACTTCGTAATGGTTCAGAAATTTCCACCCGTGGTTCATCTGAAGGAGCTTTTGATGGAACTGCTGTAAGGAACATAATCATCAGATTTTCTTGAAGAAAAAAGTGCATACATTTGAGAGAAGACATCACACCTGCCTTCATCGAGTCGTTTTCTTCATAGATGGTAACCTATTGTAACTTCCTGTTAGCATTATTAGCTTATTGTTGAGATGATGTTGTTCAGGAGAATGCTGATAACTTCTGTGTGTATAGAAATGAGATTCATCACTCTCTTGGAGAGCGCACTCAAGTCTTGCAGGATGTAGCTGCAGATCCAACTCTTTCTCGTACCAAGGCTGTTTGTTGCGTTCAGTGTAACTACAGTGAAGCTGTGTTTTTCCAGGTAAAACCACCGCCGTACTATGGCAATGTTTTTGTTTTTTGGTTTTGGTGTTGATCAAATATGCAGCGATAACTATATAATAGTAGAAGCTGAACAAATTGGTATTGTTATGCAATATATCCTATTTAGTACTAACATTCACTATTGACTGTACTAAGCCAGTGGAAGACAAGATCATGGATATTGCTTCCTTTGAGAAGTTTCTTCAAGAAATAATCAAGGTGGGTGGCAAAGTTGATGCTCTTGGTGATTCTGACACCGTTACCAGGGAGAAATTCAAGATTACTGTTACCTCTCACAGCAACTTTTCTAAGCGGTAATTCATTTTTTAGTACTGAATTTATTTTTCTATAATGAATGTATAAAAACAAATTACATAGTGTGTGTTGATTTTGAATCCATAAACTAAAGTTTGTTTAACATATCATTGGTGGCAGTTATTTGAAGTATTTTATCAAGAAATATTTGAAGAAACACACTCTGAGAGATCGGCTTATATATACTGCCTCAAAGAAAGATAGATATATCTATGAGCTGAAGTACTTTAACATTTCGGAGAATGAGGGAGAGGAAGAACATTGTTTCTTAGAACTGTATTTTTCTTTTGGCAAGTACAAGTATTGTTTGAGATATTTTATGAAATTTGACAGTTTTATTTATTTAATGGTTGTGTCCCCTTTATGAATTCATTGGTGTAGTTTTCATTTTATTCTCTTAGTTTTCTGTTATTTATGCTGTATATTCTTTTTATTGGGGTAGTTTGATGGCTAATAGTTTCTAGATTTTACATAAACTCCCATACTCTACTCGGAATCCCTTGCACAATACTAATAAATTGAAATATTTTACTCAAATTAGATTTACTTATTTGTAATATTTTGATTTAGAATAATTTAATGATAGTAAGAGTAATCACTTTCGGACAATTTCATTGATTTGAAAACTTTTTGGTTTTCTGTATATTCTTATTGTTATTGGATCTAAAGTCTATAGTTACTACAACATTCCAAATTAGAAAAATATATGAAATATATTAACATTATGAAATAAGATAATGTTAATCAAGCTTCGAACTCTTCACCTATTCTGCATCGCTTCTCGGCTCCGGTGGGACTTTCAAAATGGAGTAGTTCAGTGGCTTATGGGGATCAAAATGAGAACTCGGATATCGGTAGGAATAATGGCAAACAATGAGAGTTCATGGAGGATACCGTTGGTATTAAATTATGGACGGTTATTGGGGCGTTGGGAGTAAGGGATTTTGATGGAAAGACCAATTTTGTTAAAAAGATTGAGGAGTTGGAGAGAATGGATAAAAAAAATGAAATTAGTTGGAAAGGAGAATAATAAATGCTTAAAATGATTATAGGAACTGGCAATGTGTTTAAAAGGAAGAGAATTAGCACGTTGATTAAAAAGGGCGGAACCGATATTTTCATGATTCAAGAAATTAAATTTACTTGTATGCAAGACTTTTGTGCGAAAAGTTTGTGGAATAATTTGAAGATAGGTTATTCGTATTCTAATTCAAGGGGTGCATCGGGAGGTATTATAACATTATGGAAGTAAGGGAAGATGGAGGTTTTGCATAGTTTCAAAGGAGGGGGGTTCTTGGGCATCAAAGTGTTGTGTATGGATTTTTTCTATTATGTGGTAAATGTTTATTCATCATGTGAGCTTAGTAAAAAGAAGATGTTATGAGAGAAGTTGTTAGAGCTTAAGGAGAAGAATAATGATGGGGAATGGTTAATTGGAGGTGATTTCAACTCTACCAAAATTATAGGGAAAGAAAAGGGAGATCGTTGAGGAGTCTAATAGTGAGATGTACTTTTCGGAATTTATTGAGAAAAGTGAGTTGGTGGACTTACCTTGTAAAGGTAAGAAATTCTCTTGGTATAATGGCGATGGGAAATCCATGAGTAGGATTGATAGGTTTCTTATGTCGGAATTAATTGTGAATAGATGGAGTGTGATTGGTCAAATTATAGGATATAGAGATATATCAGATCATTGTCCCGTTTGGTTGGTGGTGGATAATACTAATTGGGGCCCTAAACTATTTAGATTCAATAATGAGTGGTTTACTTTCAATTCTTTCTTACCATTTGTGGAAAAGGAGTTCAAAGTGGAAGGAAGAGGTGATTATGATTTAAAGGAAAAACTTCAGCTTCTTAAAGAGAGACTAAAGTGGCAGAACAAAGCAGAGTTTGGTAGGATAAATTTGGAGATGGAGGAAGGGGCTAAGGATATGAATTTATGTGATAAAAGGCTGGAGATAGAGATGAAAGAGATGCATCCAGTTATTTTGACAAAAAGGAAAGAGGCGACTAGTAGATTTTGGTTGAATTTGCGGATTAAAGAAAATATGCTAGTTCAAAAATCTAGAGTCAAATGGCTTAAGGATGGTGATTCAAATAATAGTTTCTTTCATAGAGTTATGAGAGAAAGAAGTGTTAGAACATAATTTGATTCTACAACCCTAGTAAGAATTTTGATGATAACAAACACAAAAAATAAATATGCACTATAAAATTATATTCTGTTTTGTAGATAAGTTCTTATGGAACAAGATAAGAAGATAAGCTACAAGGCTGTTCCTGCTGTGAACGTAGACAATTCTCAAAAAGCTCTGATGATAGAAGATCAGAAGTTGCGCTAAAAGAAAGATGTTTTAACTCTGATTACACAACTCTGGGAAAGTAAGTATAACGCTGCAAACAAGATCTTATGACTCTGATCTTCAAAAGCTCGGAAGCAAGCAGCAACACATACCTCAATATTTTGAAGCATTACAAATTAAATATTTCCATTTCAAGAGTAACGGCTGGAAGGGAACAAGAATCTTTATTTTTGGAAAGCACCTTGACTGTCATTAATCATGTTTCCAAAAGATCATTCATGTTGCGCCTATTTAAATAAGACGCGAGGATAAATCGTTTACAATTTCACAACACTAAAAAAAGCTGCAATCTTTTCTAATTTTCATACATACAATTCTCTCAACTGTGTAAAACATCACATACCGTGATACTGTTTTGTAAGAAAACATTACTGTACATCGTCTTATAATTATATTAGTTAGTGCAATTCCTTGAGAAAAAACTGGATTGTGGTTATACTCAAGAAGACTTTGCCAGTAGTCAAAGTAGATTTGTAATCAAGATTGATTAGTGGATTAAGACCTCGTCAGAGAGAGTCGAAATCACCTTGACGAGTGGACTGGAGTAGTTTGAGT